TTTTCAAGGTAGAGAGTTATTCAGAAGAGCACCCTTCTTCAGGGGAGGGGGTGCTCTTGGACTGTGTGGCTTGTCTAAGACAAAAACAAACTGGATCTTCTCCTACAAGGTATGGCGGGGATTTAAGCTTCAAATCCTTGATTCTAGAGCTAATGCTCCAGCTCAGTGAGCTACCTAACCAGCCAGCAAATCATTATAAATTCACTTTTGATCTGAAAACACTCCATAGTGTTTTGAAAGGTTGGCAGGAATAAAAGAAAATCACATCAATTGCACACCAGTATTGCAAAATGCTTCACAAGCCTTCTATCCTCAGAAGCTTCTGGAAAATTATAAAGCACACACCTTTTACATTTGAAAAAGAAGAGGCTATGGTCTGCCCAAGGCTATCTAGTGAACCATGGCTGATCAAGGACCTGAGAACAGACTTAGGTTCAAGTTGAAGGGTGCTTTTCTCTCCAACTCATCTTATCCAGCAAGATAGCACATATCACCAGACAACACAGGCATTTACCACTTGTAGCCAGACACAAGATTAGACTAAATACCAAAATGCTGTTTCTACTACCGATGACAATGAATTGTTTATAAGCTTTTTTAAAAATAGGAAATAATAAACTTCATGGAGATTTTTTAAATCTACTACTATACATCCCTCAGGAAACCATGACACTCATTACATTTTCCCCCATAAAATGTTACTGGGCCATTTCACTGCTAGAAACTAACTCTCATAATCATAGTTTAGATATAAAAGACATCAGTAAAAATTATATTGTGAATAATTCTTCTCCATAGTGTTTTGAACTACAGAGGTTATATCACATTGCAAAGTGAATACATGAATTTATAAGGGCAGGAAAACAGCCCAAGTGATATTTCACAAGATTACTTAAATAACCCGTAAACACAATAAACAGATCAATAGTTTCCCATTTTGAATCGCTCTCAATATTTTTTTCTTTTGATTTTTTTTCAACTTCAAAGCTGAAACTCCCAGAATCTCTGAAGCTGGTCAGAGATTCTGGGAGTTGACACCCTAACACCTGGAGCAGCCCTTCTCAACAGGGGACCATACTGGGGGGGGGGGGCGAGGATGGCACATTGGAAGGGGGCCACAGACTGGACACAATTCTTCACACACCACCTTAGAAGGCTCATTATATGACTTATACAGTCCTGACTGGGCCCATATTTCTTTCATATTGTGTTTATGGCCATGGCCAAAAAAGGTTGAGAATGGCTGACCTGGAGGATCAAAGGCTGAGAATTCCTGGTATATATTACTTCTTGGGAAAACACTCCAAAACAGCTTTTAAATTTGTATAGTCACATAAGAACATTCCCTGCAGGTCCTTCAAAGGAAGATAAAGATCTCTTTTTCCTTTTACTCAACCGGCTTCTATGAAAATCATTTGAACTGATAAATATTAACCATGGAGGACTTTAAAAAGGTGATGTTACACACCAGTGAAGCTGCTTCAGTATTAATTCCCACTGGGAGTTTTTAAATAGCAAGGCATCGACAGTTCCTCACATGCTAATCAGAAACAAACTGTGCTTAGTTTCTACTAGTGTTACATATACTACTCTTCAATTAATGTCTGTACAGGAAAAAGTTGTAAACAACACCATTGTTTACATTTGGTGCTGTGCTGGTGGTAGGATCAATGCTCTGAGTGTTTGTCAAGGGGAAGTATAACTGCTGGTTTACCCTTGTGGAAATGCACCCTTAACACCCAGATCCTGGACCTCTTTATGAGTCATCTCATTATTTTTAATTGTGTCCTCTGGGGGAATCCAGTGACTAGTCCAGCAGCACTTGATGCCCCAGCACTTGAAAAGCAGAACCAGAGGTAGGCCTCAACAATAAACTACATGGAAGCTCAGTGGGAGTGCCACATAAAAAGGCAGCCTACAATGCTTAGAGATTGCATGCAGTCTGGACTGCAGCCAAAGAGGCAAGGAAAACTTTATGGTATCTGACACAGACTCTTCAGTTCTGCATTGGAAAGAGTGTATGTTCATTATTACCTGAGGTAAAACCTACACGTGAAGCATTACAACACCTGCCGCATGTTCTTCTGCACTTGTAGCACACCCATGGGATGCGGGCTGATATCCACAGAGTGCCATCAACTGAACAGGGTGAACTTTTCCCTACACTGAGTTTGATTATCTAGAAAATGGCAATATCTGAAGCACACTTGCACTGTGTTCAGTAAGCAACCAACCTGTTTGCCATTCGTACTAATACAGTACGAATGGCAAACAGGTACTGGTCAGAATGTTACTGAGATTTCCCACCAGAGTAGATTAAACTTGTGCAAGTGATGATGCTAAACTGCAACTAACAAGCTGCTGATTGCATGCTTGACCATGCGTCCAATTATTAATTACCTGCAATTTGCTGCCATTACGTACTCTGGAGTAAAGTCCCTATAGGATTCTAGCCAGTGTCAAGGAACTACTTCCAGACAGCAGTTTCAATAACAGAACAGGCACAGCTATTACATCAACTTCCCCCTACCAATTGCTCTCCAGATGCATGGCACTGTGTAACTTCCATCCTGACCAATCAGGACGGGAGATGTAGTGCAATCCACTTCGAAGGCACCAGACAGGAGTAGGTTGCACCACACACTCACCTGCTTCAGAGACAAAGATGACAACATTTTCCCCCACAGGATGGGAGGGAGTGAAGCTGGAGGGCAGGGCAAGGGCAAAGCAAGCCATTTAGCCGAAAATAATATTCCATTGTCTGCGCCTGGAAATGAAAACCTGCTGAAAGGCCATTAATAAGGCAACCTCAAAGACATTTATTCAACAATAGAGAATTTCAAAAACTTCTCATTTTTCACCGAAAAAGGCTAGTTTAATAAGATTTGGTAACTTTTCTCTTGCTTCTAAAGGAACAATTACTTCTTCAGGTGCAACAACCACCCATTCTTTATCGTCAAAGAATCTACCTCACCTTAAGATCTATAGCTGGGGTAGCCTGGGCTCTAAATAAAACTAAGGACAAGGAAGCTGTTTCTCAATTACAGATGCTTTTTTTTTAGCCTTTTAACTGACCCATTTGCTTTGCCTCAGAAAATGCACAAGGCCATTCTGTAGAGCTGATACTCAACAAGACAAGCTCCTTTATTATCAAAGTAGTTCTGTCAAGTCATATTGCTAAAGGTTGCAAGGAAGTTTCAGTTTGCTTCAGGGCTTATTGCCAGCAGCATTCATTACATCAAACGAAAAAATGCCAAGTTTCAACAATAGGCTTCCGTCTGGTCCATTTTCTAAGAGATATTCAGCCCCATAATAAACATGATAATAAAAAGCTGGTCCACAACTTCATGGGGACCAGCTTTCTACCATTTTCAGATGACCTCATCATAGGTGACGCTCTGGGAACTTGAGAAATCCAGGTTTCAGGCTCCAATGAGCCAAACAACTCACAGGATGACCTTGGGATAAGATAAAATCTTTCATGCTCATCTGCCTCACAAGAATGTTGTGAAAATAAAGCAGGGAAAGAAGAGAGCATTGTATGCCAACTGGTCCTCATCAGAGAAAAGGCCATTTTTAAAAAAAATGTAAGAAATAAATGATAAGCACATTTCAACTGTTCTGTACCAGAGAATATGTCCGCTTGGATTTCTAAAAAATATCCGCCAGGACTCATCTTTGTCCCACATCAATATCATTCCCTGCTTTCTGCATCTTAATGTACTGAATCAACCCCTATAAGCTACTCTTACACTAACAGCACTATACTGACTTACAAAGGAAAGTACAAATCATTTTCTCAGGTCACAACCTGCTACTGAACAAACAGAAAGTTACCTGCAATCAACAATAGTAAGAGAGTGCGCAAATCAAGCCTCAAAACAAGGGGTTTATTGTTTGTTTTTCAGCCACTCACTGCACAGCACAGAACACCTGAACAAACAAAGCAGCCTAGTTTAAAAAAAATCACTACTGAAAGAAAGTCTTAACAGGCAACATTACAAGGCAATGCTAACTTCAGCATCCAAAGGACCACACACACACACACACAACCATTCCTAGCCCTTGGTTTTTTCTTCCCAACATAATGAAGACAAGTCAGTGTGGGGTGGGGTGGTGGATTGAGTGTCATGGATTTGGGTTCAAATTCCTGGTTAGCCATGGGCATTCACTGTGGGCTGTGTATAACTGGCAAAGCTACAGCTTAAATGTCCTACTTAATTTGAAAGCCCTACTCAGGTCACCATTTGTTGGACACAACCTGACAACACATAACAGGGGAAACATTAACGCCTACAATGCAAACTCTAGTGGTGCCTACCAGCAACCTCGAAACTCTCAGCCCTATTGAAGGCTCCCGCAAGTATACCATCCCAGGAAAACCCCGTACTTTTGGCAGGCCAGGTCACTGCCCCCAACTTCTCACGCCATAGCTCTCCAGCCCCTTTTTCTATTAGGCAGTCCTGTAACTCTTACCACACCACTCTTACCACACCCCTTACTTACACCTTCTTGTAAACCTCCCATAACTGACCATGTCCCCCCCTTCCAGCCCGGCCCCACGTCACCCGCCTGCTTGCACCGCAACCCCATCAGGCTCAACACCTCCCTGAGGGGGACCCACCCCAGCCTTCAACCTTCTTCCTCTTCCTTCTCCCCCAGCCCAGCGCCCCTTATTTCCGGAACCCGTAAGTAAGTCAGAAGAGAACAAACGTCCCCCCCTCCCTTCCTCCTCCAGGCCCCTTGCTTTCTTCCCACCTCAGCAGAGTCCGGCTGCAAACTCACCTTCCAGCATGGAGTCCGCCCCTGAACTCCACCCCCATATCCGTCCAGGCAGCCTCTTCGCTTTCCCTCTTCCCGCCCGCCCTCGCTCCCTCCCGGGCCAAGCCGCCTCCTTACCTGCCCGCCCCTCTCGCCACCGCCGCCCCATTCTCTCCCCCCCCTCCCGGGCCCCTTGCTCCCCACCAGCGGAGGGGAGGCAACCAGGCGGGCTCCCTTACCCGTGCAAGGCAACCGGGGCGCACCCCGAACTCCTCCTCGCGCGGCAGCTCGAGCCTCTCCTTCCTGGATACCTCCGCGAGGAAAGGGGGGGGCGTGCTCGCCGGATATGCAAATGAGGGGGGCGTGCTTCGCCTGGCGCCTTCTTTCAAGTCCACGGCCGCTTGTGAATAATTCATGATCTCACCGCTACCTTCGGAATCCCTGGGCCTCTTCTTTTCCCTCCGTCCGTTCCACACACACACCCGCGCGCCCCTTCTCCTCTCGGGTCTGGCCAATCGCGACACGGCAGCGCCACGCGGGGGGGGGGGGGGGGAATGTAGGAGTCCGGATCAGATGTATGTTAATTCCGCGGCGACTGGGAGCGTCGAGGAGGCGCGGCCCACGCCCTCCGCCCGCTGAGCTCTGGGTGGACCTCACGTTTTCCGGTGTTGGGGATGGTGTGCAAACGGAGTACAGTACAAAGGGCCCTTGATTGCAGGCTAGGTGTGTTCCTGGTCCTCACCCGAGGCCGCTCAAGGAAAAGAGGACCTGCCAGTAGGTGGTTATATCCTGGGCGCCCTTCTCCCTCGCATAGGAACGGCTGCTGAGATCAAACAGCAACCGTGGCAGTTAATCAAATTGCACGGATAGATTTTGTTTTGAGCCGCAAGCACCGGCCAAGAGATCCCAGCAGGAAGTTAAAGGAATAAAGGAAGGACTGACCGGCCTGTGGCACCCCTCATCATTACCAGAAAATGAAGCTACCCTTGGCATAGGGCCCAGACACTTGCAGGTGAAAGCCGAGCTGTCAATTTGGCTGCTATCTTCCACGATTGGTTGTCCTCAGGCTTATGCCGACCCCATAAACGAGAGATCTCCAAAATGTTCTGTTCTCAACAGTGGTGTAAACTCAAGCTTGTGGGTTCCTTTAGGGAATGAATCCATCTCGTCTTCCTCTTTTCCTAGCTCTACTGTCCTTCCCAGTGAGTGTTGTTTTCTCTTGATGTATGGAAAGTATGATAGGTTTCATTTCCTCTTTTGCATCTAGATAGATTTCAGGTTTGATTTGATCTAGTAGCTACTGCCCTCTGTTGTTAGTTCCAAATCTCCCTCTTAATCAGCAAGGACAGTAGTTTTATGTTTGAGGGTTTGCCTTCACTTGTTGTTCAGTTGTGTCCGACTCTTCATGACCCCATGGACCAGAGCACGCCAGGCCCCCCCTGTCCTCCACTGCCTCCCAGAATTGGGTCAAATTCATGTTGGTAGCTTTGATGACACTGTCCAACCATCTCGTCCTCTGTCGTCCCCTTCTCCTCTTGCCTTCACACTTTCCCAACATCAAGGTCTTTTCCAAGGAGTCTTCTCTTCTCATGAGATGGCCAAAATATTGGAGCCTCCACTTCAAGATCTGTCCTTCCAGTGAGCACTCAGGGTTGATTTCCTTCAGAACAGATAGGTTTGTTCTCCTTGCAGTCCAGGGGACTCTGAAAAAATGATCATGGTCCTCTAAACCCAGGATTCTCCACATTTCCTCACCCTGAATACTAGGGATAACTTCCAGGGTTGCAGTATTCTGCAAAACTAAGAGACAGCATTATTCAAATGTATTTGGGCAGCATTATTCAAAATCCCCCAGCCACTATAGTCGGTGTCTGTGTTGTGGGATTCTGGGACAGGTGGTCCTAGAAAAAGTTTTTTTTTCCCTAGGTTCTCTATTAAAGACAGCGGTTCACACCACAATAACTCTTCTAGCCCATAAGGTGCCACAAAATACATTTTTTGTAATCATAACTGAGTCTGCTTTGTGGAAATGAGAATACCAGAAGTAGTACCTAACCAAGCTATGAAGTGACAAACTTTATGGCTACAACTGAAAATAGGACAAAATGTGTTTGTAGTTCTAATATACATATCAGGAAGTTAAACCTATCACTAAACTCAATAGGACTTATTCCTCAATAAACATACTAAGGATCACCCTAAAAGACACATTCTGAATAATTTGTTTGAACCTAATGACAATGTAGGGGTTGTGATTTTGATTTTCACATGCCTTTGCCCTTAGCACCCATGCCAATAATCCACCTCTCCAATTTGCTAATCTTGTTTAACATTTTGAGGGGAGGGGGAAGGAGTAATTTCTGAGAAAGGCGTGCTTTCAGCAGTGTCACATTGAAAACCTACTCTCTGAGGCACCTGCACTTCTTCCACTCTTATATGGAACGCACAGTCCTAATCCAGATCTGATGGAAACCCTCTCTCGTCTAGGCTGTACTTCAGCAAAGAAGCTGCTTCTGTTTTTTGTTCTAAATCGCACAAAACCAAACCAATTGGCTTGTGGTTCAGTCATGATGTCATGAGTCACAGTCACCATGGGAGTAGCAAACAGGGTGCACCAAGGAGACCGGGGCAAAGTACCAGAAGGATCAATGAGCCAACAGATTTCATTTCAGCTGAATTACAAAGGGTGTGAATTTAATCCCAGGAGACTTAACTCATTCATTCTTATTTTGTTTTTTCTTTCTTTTTTTCTCACCCCACCACAGCTCTGGAAATGAGACAGCCTCTGTTGATTGCCTCAAGCTAGCCTGAAAATAAGCATGAAAGCTTCGCCTTGTTACCTTTTAGTGACACTGCTCTGTGGCAAAAAAACCAACAACACATTATTAAGGAGCCTAGAATGGGAAACTGCAGAATAGCTGCATAAATAGATTTTTTTTTCTTGGCTTCATCAAGATTTTGTCCATTATTCTTGAATACAAACAGCCTCAAGGCTGTCATGTAATTCAGTTATAGAAAGGGTAGCCGTGTTGGTTTGTGCAAGCGCTATCGTTGTTGTTTAGTCGTTAAGTTGTGACCCACTCTTCGTGACCCCATGGACGAGAGCACACCAGGCCCTCCTGTCTTCCACTGCCTCCTGGAGTTGGGTCAAATTCATGTTGGCCGCTTCGATGACACTGTCCAACCATCTCATCCTCTGTCGTCTCCTTCTCCTCTTGCCTTCACACTTTCCCAACATCAAGATATTTTCCAAGGAGACTTCTCTTCTCATGAGATGGCCAAAGTATTGGAGCCTCAGCTTCAGGATCTGTCCTTCCAGTGAGTACTCAGGGTTGATTTCCTTTAGAGTGGATAGGTTTGTTCTTTTTGCAGTCCAGGGGATTCTCAAGAGTCTCCTCCAGCACCACAACTTAAAGGCATCAATTATTCGGTGGTCAGCTTTCTTTATGGTCCATCTCTCACTTCCATACATCACTACAGGAAAAACCATAGCTTTGACTATTCGGACTTTTGTTGGCAAGGTGATGTCTCTGCTTTTTAAGATGCTGTTAAGGTTTGTCATCACTTTCATCCCAAGAAGCAGGCGTCTTTTAATTTCGTGGCTGCTGTCACCATCTGCAGTGATCATGGAGCCCAAGAAAGTAAAATCTGTCACAAGCGCTATAGTTGAAAACAAAATAAAGACAAAAGGTTAAAAAAAGACAAAAACATTATGGTACCTTAAAGACTAACTTTTTATTTTTTAGTGTGAGCTTTCATGGATTAGTCCACTTCATCAGACATAAGGAATCTCCTTTTCTTATGTCTAATGAAGTGGACTTGTCCACAAAAGCTCACATTAAAAAGTAAAAAAGTCAAGTCTTTAAGGTGCCACCACATTCTTTCTTTACTTTTACTTTTTATTTTGTTTTCACTTATAATGCGTATATAATTCAGTTATTGATATTTGTCTTGTGAGACAGTAAGATTTTAGTGCTTCATCCTGGGACAGTTCCAAGTAGCTGTGCATATGGCATATTTCAAGGAACAAATATTTCCTTTTTCTTATTAAGTTTTTCAGGAAAGTGATACCTGATTAACCTACTGTAATTGGCCACCAAAAATTACATTTTAAAAATGGAGTGCAGCTGGCATTTTGAAGTGACTGAATTTGTGGAAGAAATGTCTATTATCTACATGCCTTACATGAAAAAAATGCCAGGGATGTTTCCTTTATCTGCCTGTCCAGTGCTATTTTGTAATGGGTATTTCACTTTTTTAAAAAAAGTTCAAGGAGTTCAGCGTGGCCCTTTGCCACAACTGTAATGAGAACACTCACATTTCTTATATAAAAATCCTGATAGTTGTATTCAGGTAGTTGTTGTGGGTTTTTCGGGCTTCTTGGCCGTGTTCTGAAAGTGGTTCTTCCTAATGTTTCGCCAGTCTCTGTGGCCGGCATCTTCAGAGGACAGCAAACTGTTTGCTGTCCTCTGAAGATGCTGGCCACAGAGACTGGCAAAACATTAGGAAGAACCACTTTCAGAACACGGCCAAGAAGCCCGAAAAACCCACAACAACCATTAGATCCCGGCCGTGAAAGCCTTCGCGAATACATTGTATTCAGGTACTTGTTCTGAAAATTAAAAAAAAAAGTAAGGGTGTGACTACACAGTGAGGAAAAATGGTAATTTACTCACTGTAAAGTCACATCTGGGAAGTCAGGTTTCCCAGGTAAATTTGCCTGAAGTCACTTAAGTGGCCACGCAGGGAGAGAAGAGAGAATTGACTGAACAGCCTTGTTTGCAGTTTATTAATACAACTTTTCTGTAACCCTTCTGATTTGCAGGAGGTACGACTGCAGGAGAATTACCTTAATAAGCTGTAAACAAGGCTGTTTAGCCAATTTACTCCTCTCCTCCCTCCCTTTCATTTTGGTATCTAGGTCCCTTTGACTCATGCTCAGCCCAGTTTCCAGCTGCCTGTATTACTTGGAAACCCTGAAGCCCTGGCAATCCTTCAGAGAAATGCAGGGCTGATCAGAGTGCTTGGCTCAGGACTTCTTCAAAAAGCTGCCTTCTAATTCTGCCGGCACACTGCCCATATCCACCAAGACCCATAGGTGCCTGTGGTGGCAGGAAGCAGCAGCACTCCCGTGGTTCAAGCAATTGTTCCATCTGAACTGATGTAAATGATCCATTGTGAGATAAAATAGAAGCCCCATCAGCAGAGGAAAAAACTTTGGTGGGGGAAATGGAATGCCTCCAGGTTGATTTACAGTTGCTTTTATGTCATTTGGTCAATGGGGGGAGAATGTGAAATCAGACCATCCCAATCTGGTAGCATTCTCCACATTTTATGTCGATGTCGTTGCACCCTCAGGGAGGTTGGTCTGTAAGGGATTGGGGGAGGGATCAAAACTCACAGCCAGGCACTTCCTAAATTAGAACGGAGCAAAAGAAATGTGGAGGGAGGAAAGCAGGAAGGAAGGAAGACTTGATGTTAAAGTCATTAAATTGAAAATGCTGGAAGTTTAAGGAAGGAGGAGAGACAGACCTAACTGGTTTTGATCACAGGTTGAGGATAGTCCAAGGGTCACACAGATGCCCACCCAAGGACCTAGTCTTTATTCTAGAGCACCCTGAAAAATCTCTTCTGGAGAACTGGAAATTGTGAGATAGAGAGCACATCTTGGAAATCTTACTTTTGTTTCCCATGGCTTGCAAAATTCCCCAGCTAGCATGTACTGTTGGAGTTGCATTCCAAACAGGTAGTTTTTTTCTAGGCACCAGGAAAGGTGACTATAGATAGAAAGCTGGGGGAAAACACGTCTTCGTAAGCAAGCTGGGAAATCAAGCCGTGGCCTCCTCTGACAGGATTGCTGCTATTGGCCAGTGTAACTTTTGGAAAGTTTTCTATTTCTTTTGTTTCTAATGAGGGGAGGGGTGGTGGTGGTGGTGGCTGGCACAGGGCAAGGGTCGCCATCGGCATGCTTGGATGGAGCAGAAGGCTGCTTGAACGCAGTGATAAGGCAGCAGACCAACAGGTGAGCCTTGCAGAGCTGGAGGATGAGGAGGAGAAGGGAAAGGCTGTCTGCTGAATCTATACAACAACCTGTTGTTATACAACTAAAGTGGAACACAGACTGCAAGAAGCCAGGAGATCATTTGGCTGATCTTTGAGGACCTATACCTGAAAGTGAGTGCTTGGGACGAATCAGAGCTTCTGTGGGCGTACCATCCATCCTGCTGCCCTCCCTGCGCTGGCTGAGCTGGTCTCAGGGGTGATGCTGGAGCCCCCCCCCCCGACTACTTCTGCTGAGGGGACTTCGAGATCTCTGCTGAGGCTGGCTTCTCTGGACAGGCTCAAGATTTCATGTCCTCCATGACCATGGTGGGACTGTCCCCGTCTCAGTCATGTTGCAGGGCACACTCTGGACTGGTTTTCTGACCTGGGTGTGTATCTACATGCTAATAATCTGGCCATGGAGACGCTTTCCATAGTCATAGACAGATCACCAACTAGTGTGGTTTAGACTTACTGGAACTCAGAGCCCTTGCAAGGGTGGGGAACCAATTAAGGTCGTCCACCTTGGGAGCCTGATGGATCTGAATGATTTCTGAAGGCTCTTGGGGATCTTTGCCGTTAAAGCCCTGGTTAATCTCTGGAAATGGCTAGCCCCATAGACATTATCACTCCTAAGCTTCCCTTACCATGGAGTAGAGCTGAACTAGCCCCCTGGCTTACAAGGGACCTGGCAGGATGAAACAAAGTGAGATGGAGACTAGAGCGATGATGGAAAACTCAGAAATGAATCTGACTGAGCACAGGCTGGAGTGCATTTGAAGGTCTCCTCCGTGACAATGTCTCCAGCAAAGAAATGTTGATTTTTGCTACCATTGTGTGCTCAAAAAGAAGCCAGCAGAGTTGTTTCATGCGGTCAGGGACCTATCATCCACAAGAGCAAGAAGCTACCCACTCAGCAGTCTGCTGTGAAGAAGTTGTGTGGCATTTTGCAGACAAAAGTCCTCAGATCTGCTTGGACTTGGATGGTATATTTAATGCAGTTCCTGTGGATATAGGTTTGGTTACTGCTTGTTACATTATACTGGATAGGTTTCAGCCTGTCGATGTGGACAGGATCCTTGGAAAGATGAAAACACTACATATATGTTGGATTCTTTTACTTTCTGGCTTATAAAAGCAGCCTGGGGGTGGTGGTGGGGAGGGACAGGCTAAGTGTTGATTTTTGCTACCATTGTGTGTGCACAAAGAAGCCAGCAGAGCTGTTTCATGCTATCAGCAACCTATCATCAAGAGCATCTAAGTGGAGCACTAAACACCTCCTTGCAGTAAGGTAGGCTGCAGGTGTGCTTAAAGGAGGCATCTGTGGAACTTTTGTGGAAAAAGCTCTCCGCCTACTCTGCTGTATTTGATCACTATCGAACAGTCTCTAATATTTGGGCAAGGTGTTAGAATGGGTGGTGGCTTCTGAACTGCAAGGATTCCTGGATAAAATGGAGTCTTTAGATCCATTTCAATCTGGCTTCAAGTCTGATCATGGGGCAAAACAGTTCTGGCCATCTTCGCAGATACCCTACACTGGGAACTAGACCAGGAGTAGTATGTTCCTGCTGTTTCCATTAAACCTTTTGGTGGCTTTTGATAGGGTACAATACAATGCAAATTTATACTGCAGCCAAAGGCCCGATAATTTTGATAGTACTGTATCAACCAAGGTGATCTTCTGAGCCATCTCTCTGGGATGTGACTTGAAGACATGGTCTTGTAGGGGCTCCGGTCCTTCCTAGAGGAGTAAACTCAGAAGTTGGTGCTTGGAGATTCCAGTTCAATGCCTTTGATTTTGGCCTGTGGGGTCCCTCAGGATTCTGCTTTGTCCCCCGTGCTATTTAATATTCAAATGAAACTGCTGGATGAGGTTGTCTGGAGTGTTTAAGTTTGATCCCATCAGTAAGCCAATGACACTAAGCACGCTCTCTCTCATCTAAGGAAAGTGTCCTGCCTGTAAACTAGTGCCTAATATCTGTGTAATAGACTAGATGAGGATGAACAAACTGAAGTTTAATTCAGGCAAGAAAGAAGTGATTCCTGCTCAATCAAAAAGGTAGACTAGAGAACAGGTATTCAACCTGAATTATATGGGGTTACATTACCCCTGAAAACCCAGATTTGCCGCTTGGGTGCACTCCTGGATTCCTTGAGCCTGGATGCCCAGGTTTCAGTGGTGGCTAGGAGTGCGACTGCAGTTAAAGCTGGTGCACTAGCTCTATGTGCACTCCAGGAAATGACTTGCTTACAAGGACACCTGCTTTAGTTGCATCCCATTTAGATTACTGAAAGTCTGAAGGTCATCTAGTAAAATCTTGTGCAATAAAACAGGGAGCTCCACCCGTACCAATTACTCCATGTGAGACTCTTAAACAGAAGGAAGTAACCAGAGATGTAGCCAGGTCAGAAGAGGCATAATAAAATAATGTGCCATCAAGTCAATTCTGAGCCACAGTGACCCTTTTTTCATGGTTTTAAGGTAGAGAATATTTGGAAATGGTTTACCACTCCCTTGTTCTGGGGGTGCCCTAGGACTGTGCAGGTTGCCCAAAGCCACACAGGCTGGCTGTACTTGTGGGCATTGCCTTGCAGGAACTGGACAGAAAAGATAAACTAAAGAAAGGACTGTGCTGTACCATCTAATTTATGATGTGTATACATATGATGGTGTTCTTGTTGTTTTAGGATGATCACTGTTTCAATTTTTTTCCAAATATATTTTGTCTTACAACATAACCTGGAGAATGTTTGGATTTTCCCCCAGAAGAATGCATATTGAAGCACCAGGATAGCTTTGAACATACCCCTAATGTCTTGTCTTTCAGATCACCACCATGGAGGAGCACAAATGGGCAGAGCTGCTAAATGTGTAATAGCTTTACCTGTTTCCGTTTGGCTCAAGCAAATTTGCAGTGCATTGGGAAATAACTGGCAACTCACTCTTCAGCAATCTTCAGTGAACAACTATCAAGAAAGAAAGCGCCAAGGCATATATTGACAGTGATAGATAACTGCTAACACTCATTCTGCCTAACAAAAAACATAACAAATGTGAAGGCAACATAACATTCTGTTAATATACAAAGGGTATTTTATTGCTTTAGAATCCACATTCAAGTATTCCTCCCTCTCCAACAACAACAAAAAACTTCATAAAACAAAACTGCCCCTAAAATTTGTTTATAAAAATTCTCTTATAAGCTGCCTGGGAACAGAACTTTAAAAGCCAGTCTCTTTTGAGCCTGTTCACACTGCTTACTCTAACTACTGTACCAATTTCACAGGAGAGAACACTAGTATCTGAGAAACACCATAGTCTGTAGCAACAACGGTTGTAGGTTAACTTTTTGATTCTGACCATGATTCCCAGCTGGGACATATTGGCTAGAATCTACTAGGTCAAAACCAGAGTAGGCCTATTGAATCAGTGGGGATTTAGTGAGTCAACTCCTCAAGTTCCATGGGTTGAATAAGCCTGCTTTAGTTACAATTTACTCCTGGATTTCAGCTGTTAAATCAAATCCAAGGGTGATACTGCAAACAATTGGATCAAGAGAGTCCAGTAATGACAACTTAAGCCCTAAATAATTCAAAGTTCATTTATTTATTTATTTATTTATGTTTTATTTGTACCTCGCCTATCTGGTCATTGCGAGTTCACTTATTTGATGGACAAGTAAAAATAGATAAACAAACAAACAAACAAAAAACCCCAAGGGAAGTCACTGTGCAGTTCCATGGATTTTTATAAGATCCCAGCATTTGACAATTTTATTTTCTCCAGATTACTTCTACTGAAGAAAAAGCACCTGATGTGGGAACCATGCGCCCAGCTACAGGGAACTCTTCAGTTACCCTCTTGCTGCACTCTGAGACTAGAAAAGATCAGCATTCAATCATGGATCATTTCTTCTCTGCTGCTAACACTTGGGAGCCACTAATAACTAAAGTCAGCTTCTAGTGTTGACATATGCCAAACCATGGAGCTGGTGTCTGAATTCATGATGGAACCTCTACCCAAGCACCAGGTAAGTTTTAAGTAAAACGTGGCAGGTCTGTGTGTGTTCTTTTTGGACTATAATTATCAGAACCCTGTAGTCAGTGCCCATGCCAGCTAGCAAATTTGCAAGTGTGGGGTAGAATATGATGCCATCACCCCTCCCCCCAAAAAAACTCCTCAAGCTCCAATCAGCAAAAGCACTAAAATCAAGCAGTGCTTGGCAAGCTGTGGGGAGGACAGCAAGCTCATTTTACCCCTTTGGGAACCAGCTGTGGACTACACCTCAAAAAATGCACGTTTTCTTAATTTTTACAAAGCCAAAGATGACCAGTGTTGAAATAATTAACAGAAACATGCATATACTAAAGCAAGGCCACGTGCTTTGCTTTTCAAGGAAAACTGCAGCTCCTGGAGGCTTTTGGGACAGAGAGTTTCCATTGTTGACCAAAGGGGGGGTGTATGGAAGAGGCCAGGGCTGCAAATAGGTGCTGGGGGCAGGGATTGTATTGGGCTTGCATGAATCTCACCCCTGTCCTGGAGATGCATTGGAAGAGGTAATTGGGTGGTGATGGGTTAAAAAAACAAAAAACAAAAGTTTACTGTCAAGACAAGATTTTCTTCAAACTGCTATTCATCTTTGGGAACGACAGGTTCTTGCTCCACAGAATTTGCATCCTTTGGGGACACAGTGCTGGTGGTCAGAAATTCAATACAGTATCATGATGAACAAACTGGAAGTCCTGAGTACCACTGTATACACAAACAAGCTTCCCCAGAAAACAATATCAGAGATAAATATCAACCGGCAGCTTGAAATCCTTAAAAGAGTAAAATACAATGTCTCCATTGTCTACTAGTGCAAAGACCACTGGGACATCTCCACTTTGATAGGCAAGTTGTTTCAAAACCCTTAGGGATGGGATCTGCTCATCAAACCTACAAAGAACGAAATGGAGAGGAGCATTATATGCATGCATGCAACATGTACCTTCAAGACAATTCTGCCGTATGGCTCCTGTGCAGCTCCGCCCAAGACCAACACAGGCTGGCTCTACTTGCAGGAGGCACAGTGGGGAATCAAACTCCTGACCTCTGACTCCACAATCAGATGCCTAGAGTTCGTTCAAAAAACCCAAAAAACCACAACCCACACATCTTGGGCTAATATATCTGGTGAGCAGGACTCAGGACATTTGTACTCCCCACAATCTAGCTTGTCTTATGACATACCGTGAACTCACCTGAGTCCAAGTTTTGAAAGAACAGTGAGACATAAAGATAACACATATGCAAGATTCTGGACATTTTCGTTAACTGCCCAGAGAGTGGATATTGCACCATAAATTGATTGATTTATAATTTAAATCAATCATTAAAACAATAATTCTTTTGGAGGGGGGAAAAGGAAGGAGTGCATGTCATCCCAGTTAAAGAGATTACTGGGACAACTTTGCAGGCAAATCTCCTCAACCCAATACCATCTAGATTTTTTTGAACTGCACCCCATCAGTCCTAGCCAAAACTGCCCATGGTCAATGATAGTGAGAGGGAAATGTAATCCAAAAGATGTGGAGGGCACCGGTTTGGGCAAGGCTGGTGTAGGCACTGCCAGCTTGAGCACTGTGGCCAATATTATGAGAAAGTCAGAAAGTTGAGTGCTGGGGTCATCACCAGAAAGGATTCTCACAGGACCTGCCGGTTTTTGCACAGTCCCCATAGCTAGCCATGTCTTTGCCTTTTATCAAGGAGTGTAACTAACAATACAGTAATTTGTGTGTTTCTTTCCTCTATTCCACCAACTCCCATATCAGTCTGCAACAGAGTCAAATGTGTGTGTATGTGTGTATCAATGCACACAAAAGCATATCCCAAGGCCAGGGGGATCTTCTGACTGAATACAGGCACTGTTTGCTAATGGGTTATGGTAGAGCTCTTACCAGCTCTCTCCCAGCGTAACCTCAAGGACTTAAAGCAGCTGGTTTTTAAGTATTCTAAAAATCTACAGAGAACACAACCACCAAAAGTGAGACACAACTCTTATTTTCGATGTAAGCAATGGCTCCACTAATAATTTCACAAGTGTGTAGTACCTCCGAACACATATCCGGACATAAGGCTTCCCGGGGTCATTCTTCTTAAAGCTGGAAACCATGTCTGCTTGATAAACATCAAAATCTATCTGCGGGTCTCTGGAATTGTTTTGCAGACTGTTGAAAAAA